GAAGTTTGAATGGGTGAAAGGTTACTCAGTCTTTAGGCATCTTAACATGCTGTATATATTGTTTAACAATTTAACATATATGTAATGTAATGGCTGAATTATCACCAGATAAAAGATGACTTAATATGATTTTGTAGTACTGGGGGATAAATGTGCCTGGAAAAAATAAAAAATAAACCACTTAACATCTTTCTGGAATAAAGTTGTCTGTATAAACGAATAACTATTTATTTATTTATTTGCGCTGTGGCCTAAACCACTGAGCCTAGGGCTTGCCGATCGGAAGGTCGGCGGTTCGCATCCCCGCGACGGGGTGAGCTCCCGTTGCTCAGTCCCTGCTCCTGCCAACCTAGCAGTTTGAAAGCACGTCAAAGTGTAAGCAGATAAATAGGTACTGCTCTGGTGGGAAGGTAAATGGCGTTTCCATGCGCTGCTCTGCTTTCGCCAGAAGCGGCTTAGTCATGCTGGCCACATGACCCAGAAAAACTGTCTGCAGACTAACGTTGGCTCCCTGGCCAGTGAAGCGAGATGAGCGCCACAACTTCAGAGTTGTTCATGACTGGACTTAACTGTCAGGGGTCCTTTACCTTTTTTATATTATCTTAAGTCTCTGTCATCTTATACAGTGGTACCTCGGGTTAAGTACTTAATTCGTTCAGGAGGTCCATTCTTAACTTGAAACTGTTCTTAACCTGAAGCACCACTTTAGCTAATGGGGCCTCCTGCTGCTGCCGCGCCGCCGGAGCACGATTTCTGTTCTCATCCTGAAGCAAAGTTCTTAACCCGAGGTAATATTTCTGGGTTAGCAGAGTCTGTAACCTGAAGCGCCTGTAGCCTGAAGTGTATGTAACCCGAGGTACCACTGTATCTGTCTCTGTGTTGGCCTTTCCTAAAAAGAAAATCCAGTCAGGCAAGCTGAAGATGATTTATTTAAAGCATTTTCACCTCACTTGTTAACTGAAGCCTCAGAATGGCTTACAAGAATCTGTAGTGAGACAGTTTCTGCCCTCAGGTTTATAATCTGAAAAACATTATGCACAGAGAAAGGGGCAGGTGGTAGGGAGTAAAGAAGAGCAGAGCAAGCTCACACACCAGTTCTTTAAAAATCCTGTTCTTTTAACGGCCAACTGGGATGAAAACAGTTCAGATAGCCTGATGGAATGGCTGCTGGTAGGTGATAGTTGACTGAAGGCCAAAGAAAGTTGGTCTACTAGCAGGAGTGATGGAAAATTTGTGATTCTCTACTCTTCATCAGCTCTGAGCAGAGGCAACAGACCTGGGATAGTTTGGTCAGTAGAGCATGAGACTTAATCTCAGGTTGTGCATGCAACCCCTGTTAGGCAAAAGATTCCTGCATTACAAGGGGTTGGACTAGATGACTCTTATGGTTCATTAAACCTCTACAGTTCTGTGAGTCTTTGATCATACGCCTGAAACCTCTATGGGGTTTTTTTTTTGGGGGGGAGGGTGTTTTCAGCCCAAGGGTCACACCCTTTCCTGAACAGCCTTCTGAGGGGTACTTGCCATTGGTGAGTGCGGCCTGAGGCAAAAGTGGAAAGTGCAACAAACAAACAAACAAACAAATAAAATTATACCCTGCCCATCTGGCTGGTAAATTCTGCCTTTGTACAGTAGTATCCACACACCTATCCTCTATCCAGGCAAGCCAAAGGCATCATCAGAGCTCAATGACACATTCCAGTAAGGCAAAAGTGTGTTTGTGGGGGGGGGGTTGAAGCAGGACTAGTGAGGGGTGTGGTCTGCGGGTAGGAAGCAGGGGTGCCAACTTGAATAAAATATGGGAGGGCAGGCAAGCCCCACCCCACAGAAGCGATCACCTGGCGCTACATGCACACCCCATTTGAATGTTTTGTTCCCCTTGTCTGGACTCTAATCTCATTTTACCAGCTGTCTGGCTGCTGCTGTTCCTGTACTGACAGGCAGGTGGGTTGATGACATGCTTGTTTTAGGTTTTCTATAAACCAAGATAACCTGCTTTTGTGGAAAGTACATTTTATCCTGTTTTGAATAATACAGTTCAATTAAAAATAATGCTTGTGATGTCACCTCATATGCTATCAAAAAGCAACTTTAAAAATGCATTCTATGTATTGTCAAGGATCTAGAACACTATTCTAAATGTTACTTTAGTAACATTCAGATACGAATAGCTTGCTGAAAAGCTATTCGGAGTGTTAATAGCTATTTTGCATCATTTACAAAAAGCAGGGGTAAAGTGTAAGGTGTTTTGTTTGTTTGCTGGGGGAGTATTTATTGAGTGCTCATTTAAATTCCTTTTCAATGTTTTGAACTCTTTCGAGCTTAGGTCTTATTTCTGTTCAGAGCTAAAATGAAATGTTCATGTTGTTACATGCCCAAGCTATTGAATGCCTGGAAATGTAACAGCTCGGTTTACTCTGTCAGTAAGTTGCTTTGCCAGATAAGTTGTCTGTCATGCATTGTTTCCTTTTACCTCCTCTCTCTCTCTCTCCCCCTCCCCAGTTACATCTCTGAAGCTTCTAATCTGAATCTTCCTTACATGGCAAATTATTCATAGCATGGAGAATACAGGGAGAGTGTTTTTTATCCCTTTCTCATAACACTTGAAATCGTGGACATCCAGTTAAGCCTAATGTTAGACTATTCAGGACGATTCCAGCAGCAGATAATTAAACTATGGAACTCTATGCCACAGCAAGCAGCAATAGCTACCAGCCTAAAAGGTAAAGGGACCCCTGACCATAGGTCCAGTCATGGCCGGCTCTGGGGTTGCAGTGCTCATCTCGCTTTATTGGCCGAGGGAGCCGGCGTCCAGCTTCCGGGTCATGTGGCCAGCATGAGTAAGCCGCTTCTGGTGAACCACAGCAGCGCATGGAAATGCTGTTTACCTTCCCGCCGGAGCGGTACCTATTTATCTACTTGCACTTTGATGTGCTTTCGAACTGCTAGGTGGGCAGGAGCAGGGACCGAGCAACGGGAGCTCACCCCCTTGTGGGGATTCGAACTGCCAATCTAGCTGACTTTAAAAGTTGAGACAAATTAATGGAGGAGAGGACTATTGATGGTTACAAGTCATGGTGGCTATGCTCTACCTCAGAGGTTAGCAAAATTTTTCAGCAGGGGGCCAGTCCACTGTCCCTTAGGCCTTGTGGGGGGCCAGACTATATTTTGAAAATAAAATAAAAATGAACAAATTCCTATGCCCCACAAAGAACCCAGAGATGCATTTTAAATAAAAGCACACATTCTACTCATGTAAAAACATGCTGATTCCTGGACTGTCTGTGGGCCAGATTGAGAAGGTGATTGGGCCAGATCCAGCCCCCGGGCCTTAGTTTGCCTACCCATGCTCTACCTCCACAATTAGGAAGCAGCAATGTTTCTGAGTACCAGTTACTGGAAGCCACAGGAGGGGAGAATGTTCGTGTGCTCCAATCCTGCCTGCAGATTTCCCACAGGCACCTGGTTGGCTGCAGTAAGAACTGGACTCTGGACTAGATGAGACATGGCCCTGATCCAGCAGGTTGTTCTTATGTTCTTACCAGAATTGTGGGGAAAGGTAGCCACCTACCTGCAAACAAATACTGAAACCCAGAATGGAGTAAGACCCATTTATAGGCAGTGGGATTTACTTCTGAGTAAACATGCAGTGGATTGTACTCAAAACATAGCTAGGTATGTTAATAAGCAAATGAATTATCAGGTGATATAGTGTAGGATTGTAGGTCTGACTCTGCAGGAGGTCATCAAGGAAACTAAATCATTTAGCAACTTAAATACTGGGGATGTGGCTCTAAAGTTGGGTCCCCATTCACCTCCACTGTTCCCAGCCCTTTTAGATCTACAATTCTCCCCACTGGTTTTTACTTTCCTCAGTTATCTTTATTTAAACTCACTGCTTCTTCCACCCCTGATTTCCTTAGCTGTTGTGTTTTGGGCTGATGCCTAATCTGCCCTTCTTCTTCGTCTCTGGCCCCTCTTCCATGTCTCCCTGCTTTTTCTTGTTGGACCAGGAGTGGTTAACCTGTGGCCCTCCAGATGCTGTTGGACTCCATCTCCCATCAGCCCCAGGCAGCATGATCAATGGTCAGGTATGATGGGACTTGTAGTCCAATAACATCTGGAAAGGTCTCAGATTAGCTACCCCTGTCCTATGCTTTCAACTTATGCTTCCTTTGTATTGTCTTTCCACAGCAATTTCTGCATTATCTGACTTTATGCTCATTTGCAGAGCAAAATAGGTAATCTGCTCAAGAGTATATTGCAGCAATATCTCTAATACCACCCCTCCCCACGTCCATGCAAGTACTTCCCTTATGGCTGCAGATATAGCTATAGCTATAGATTGAGCATGGGAGAACTTCCACCCGTAAGGCTTCAGAATTGGTCTTTGGCCTGCCAGATGCAAGATGGCTAAGCTGATGTACATGGCAACTTAATGATTCATCTTAGCCTGGCAGATAATGCTGGGAGTTGGAATTATGCTAATGAGATGAGAGGTATAATGTTTCCCTGTTTAGGGAAGTTTTTAAGGATTGATGTTTTTAGATATGCTGTAACCTACCCAGAATGGCTGGGGAAACCCAGCCAGATGGGTGGGGTACAAATAATAAAATAATTAATTAATTAATTAATTGATTAATAGTGGTGTCAAAAGGCACGGAACACTGAATAGCCAGCCAGTCTTTGCATGGTTTTCTCTGTAGTTCTATAGGGCATGGGGAGATATTGGGGAGGGGGGGCATTGCTTTGGGGTAGACAGTAATGGAGGTTTCAAACATAGCCTGTTTCTTTCTCTTGCTCTTTCCCACTCCCCCAGGCATTCTGTTTTGTACCTCTTTCTTCTGAGTTAGTGAAGCAGTTCAAGAGGAGGGAATAACTCATTCAGAATATGTCCAGAACATATCTCTCTCATATATATATATATATATATATATATATATATATATATATTAGCAGAACAATAACAAGTTTTTGTTTCTTCTTTCATTCCTGAACAGATGTTGGCATACTAGCAAAGCAGTATCTTGAGAAAGGCCTTTTGGTGCCAGATCATGTATTCACACGAGTAATGATAACAGAACTGGAAAAAATGCAGACCCAGCCTTGGTTACTTGATGGTAAGTGACCCCCCCCCTTTTCTTTAAACATTTCAAGTGCTGGTAAAAACCATTTTGCACTTCCCTCCTTCTACAGGCTCTTTTAAATTTGATTTAAATAACATGCTATTTGTGGAAAAGTAATGTAACATGAAAACAGCCTTTCCTGTATTTTTAGCAACTGGTGGTGTAATGGGGAGGTAGGTGAGAACACCCTGAGAGCTTCTAAGGACAGAGGATTCATAGTTAAACATTTGGCAACTATGTTTCCACACATGGAAACTAAGGGATGAAAATATCTGGGTTTCTTTCACAATGGTCCATTTATTGAGCAACTGAAGAAAGGTGACCACAGTCCAAGCCACCTTGGATTTCTCTTGGGGCAGCTCAGTACGGTTACGTACGTGCCTGAATTATCTTCAAGTACTAATATGGACTACTCTGTTCCTAACATCCCAACACATTCAATTTCATTTTGCCTCAAATGTTCATTCGGTGAATGAATTGGGAGGTTACTGATGATGCCTAGAGCAGTGTGTCCTGCAACTGGCTATTATTGGTTTCCGCGTCGGCACACAATTACCGTAAATTTCGCTCCATAACACGCAGATTTTTCCTCCTAGAAAGTAAGGGGAAATGTCTGTGCGTGTTATGGAGCGAATGCCTACAGATGGCGGGGAATCTGCTGCAGTTGTGAGCAGTCCATGGCTCGCTTTAAAACAGCAAAGCGGGTGTAAGCGGCTCCTGTCAGCTAGCGGAGCCGGGGAGGAGGGAGAGAAGCAGAGCGGGAGTTGGCTGCGTTAAAACAACCCCGTCCTCTATGTCCCTCTCTCCTCCCCACTGAGCTGCTAAGTAGCAGCAAAGCTTTTCAGCCAGCCTAGCCGGGAGGAGGGAGAGAAGCAGAGCGGTGCTCTCTGTCCCTGCCTGCAGTTTTTTGCTGCCTGGTTTTGGATTAGCCACTGTAGGGGCTGTGTGTGTGCTTGAGCTATCGTTCTCCTCCTCCTGCTTCCCGTTCACTCTCCCAGCGCCCCTGCGCTCTCCTCCGACTTTAGAATTGACACTGTGTGTCTGTGTGTGTGAGAGAGGGCTCCTTCTCCTTCTCTTGCTTCTGTTCACTCTCCCTGCGCCCCTGCGACTTTAGAATTGACACTTTGTGTGTCTCTGTGTGTGAGAGAGGGCTCCTTCTCCTTCTCTTGCTTCTGTTCACTCTCCCTGCGCCCCTGCGACTTTAGAATTGACACTCTGTGTGTCTGTGTGTGAGAGAGAGGGCTCCTTCTCCTTCTCTTGCTTCTGTTCACTCTCCCTGCGCGCCTGCGACTTTAGAATTGACACTCTGTGTGTCTCTCTGTGTGTGAGGGCTCCTTCTCCTCTTGCTTCCTGTTCACTCCCCCAGCGCCCCTGCGACTTCCAGCGCCCTGCGACTTTAGGGCCAGTTCTCTCTCTCTCTCTCTCTCTCTGTGTGTGTGTGTGTGTGTTTTGACCTCACTGCGCTTGTTGGGGGAGAGTGTTGGTCGCAATTTTTCTTGATTTGTCTCAGAGTGGTTACTATCATGGTTTCCTTGCCGGGGAGGAGGGAGAGACGAAGAGCCTGCTTGTTCTAAAGGAGCAAAGCCGGAGAGGAGCCTCTCCTGCTATTAGCAGCATCCTTCTCCAACCCCCCATGCGTGCTCCTTGTCCCTTGAGTTCTTTTCCTTCCCTCCCCACTTAAAACATGGTTACAAAGCACGGATCCACATGGATCCTCAGGATTTTTGCACTAGGTCACCCCAAATTCACCATCAGATCACATAGCATATCCACGGCTACAGCCTGCACCAAAAAACACGCGCACCCACTGTTTCATGGGACCGCAATGGCGCAAAAACGTGGTTACAAAGCATGGATCCACATGGATCCTCAGGATTTTTGCATTGGGCTACCCCAAACTCACCGTCAGATCACATGTCTGTGGCCAGAGCATGAACCACAAAAATCATACATCCACTGTTTCGTTTAGAATATATTTTTCTTGTTTTCCTCCTCTAAAAACTATGTGCGTGTTATGGTCAGGTGCCTGTTATAGAGTGAAAAATACGGTATGTTCAAGAAAGAAAATGGCCGCTTTCACCTCAATACCTGAAAAAGGTGAAAAAGACTGGCCTACTCTTTTAGGGGGGGGGAATTATGATAATACTGTGGGAGATACAGGATACTAAGCAGGAGGTATTATCTTTTCCTAAGGTCATCAGTGTGATGCCCACAGGGACCAGTGTGCCTACCAGCAGGTGCCCACAAAACATAATACTGTTGTAAAGATCCCTTTCAAAATCCAGAGTGTGTGGATGTTCAAGGCTTTTTGCTTTCCCTGTTCAGTGCCTGTTTGCTCGGCTTACCCTACGCTAATCACATAGCCTTGAGCATGTCAACGTGTCATTGGATGCCACAATTGGACACCCACCATCCCATTTGTTCTGAACAGAGGAGAGGTACAAAGAGCTGTTCCTAGCAGTTCTTGTTGAAGATGGTATCTTTTCCTGCATTGATAGAGTATGCCCACAGCACTTTGTGGTCCTGTCTCTTTTTCTGCTATTTAGATGTAACAGCTATTTTGTGTTATGCCATGCCCTCATGGCAGCTATTTGGTGAATGTTGCCCAATGACCCCAAATGATTGGCAACCCCTGCTATATTCATATCCTGTGTTAGACTGTCTCTCAACTACTTCTGCTATGGCCAATGAATGCAAAAGCACTAGGAACTTATATTTTTGAAAATATAAGATGGAAATTTTATTGCTGTTTAATGGGTGATATCCTATTTAGCCTGAGGGGGTGTCTACTTGTGCAGTGGAGGGGTGTCTTCTTCCTCCACTGCCCCACCTGCAGGGTCCTGTTCAGGTTTGGCCAGGCTTATGTTTGACAACACAGTCCTTCTGGTAACTAGGCCCCAAGCCATCTAGGAGTTCAAAGACAAGAGCCAACACTTTGAATTGTGCATTGAAAGCAGCAGTAGTGCTGTCTGTTGTTTCAGCATGGTCTTGACCTTCTGAAATGAAATTGTGCAGTGGCTGAAAAACACATGCTTTAGCTTTGCCATACTTCCCAGTGAAAAATGACACATAGGAGTCTTGCTACCCTCCAGTGCTTGGGGATATGACTAAGCTGTGAGGCTCCTGGATCGGCCTTCTGTTGCATGAAACAGTGTGATCTCTCTGTGTGTCTGACGTGTGGCAAGTAGCAACTGGTAGGTGGGAAGGAAGGCATAGAGCCAAGATAAATTGCTAATAGCAACATCATCTGTGTGCTATGAACAATTGCTAGCCATGCCTCATTTATGCTAATTTGCATCGTGATTATTATTATTTTTTTAAAAAATAGATGCTTCATCCAAAAATCATTTTCTTTTAAAAAAGCAAGTTTCATTGAATTCAGGAAACTTGTGTTTATGACAAATTACTATGGGAAGAATTGATTATATGTATTTTTGAACCCAGCCTCCATACTAAAGCAGGAAGATAGAGGTCAAAAATACTACTGGGCGGGGGTAGCAGTACTTTCCCATGCATACTTGAATTTAACTAATTGTAAATAATAATAAAAATTCTGCAACACTCTCCATCTCTCTCTAAGACATTACTGAGTAATGTGTAAAGGTAAAGGACCCCTGGACAGTTCAGTCCGGTCAAAGCTGACTATGGGGTGTGGCGTTCATCTCACTTCAGGCCGAAGGAGCTAGCGTTTGTCCACAGACAGCTTTCCAGGTCATGTGGCCAGCATAACTAAACCACTACTGGTACATGGAACACTGTGATGGAAGCCAGAGCTCACGGAAATGCAGTTTACCTTCCCACAGCAGTGGTACCTATTTATCTACTTGCACTGGTGTGCTTTCCAACTGCTAGGTTGGCAGGAGCAGGGACCGAGCAACGGGAGCTCACCCTGTTGAATGGATTCGAACCGCCAACTCTTCCGATCGCAAGCCCAAGAAGCTCAGTGGTTTAGAACTTTAGATCACAGCGCCACACTGGACAGAGAGACAATGAGACTTGCAGCCAAGTTGGAAGATCAGATGAGAAAGACTCTTTCTTTTCTGCCCAGGGACTTATTTACTAACAAACCTTGAGTAGCAAAGCAATAAAGGCTTTCTGCCTTGAAATGCAGCTGCTACTTGGCGTTAACCAACTTTTCCCAACCTGATGCTCTCCAGATGTTTCCACCAGCCACAACAGCTTGGATCAGGGATGATAGTAGTTGCAGTTCAAGGCATCCTGGGGGAACCAGGTTGGGGAAAGCTGATGCAAAGTGTGCATTAGTTCGAGATGGTATAAGGTACATACATCTGATATAAAAGTGAAGGAGCTCTATCTAAGTTGCTTATACTTCAGAGAAAGCTCTGGGCAGGAATCTAGCCAAAAATTATGCACTATTTTGCTCACTATAACTTACTTATGATTTATTCAGTAGTTGTCTCCTTTTTTTTCTTGACCAAGTTCCAGATCTATATATCTATAATATTAAAGAGGTGGCTTGCATGAGACTTAAACAGCCACTAGCTTGAATAAATGTGTCCTTGCTGAAATACTGCAGTATTCAGAAAGAGAAATAAGTTGTTGCAGGTTCTGAAATGTTCCTGTTCATCTACATAAAGAAACCAGTGTGGGTTGAGAGCTCCAGGAACTAATGCACATGGCTTGCAGTACTGTAAAAGATCACGTTGTTTCCTAACGAAAGACATGAAGTAAATCTTTAACACTCCCATCCTCTCTTACAGTGATTCTCACTGTTGCAAAGGACATGTGTAGATCTAGTCAAGACTGCCAGTACAAGAAGATAGCACTGTGTATTTATAAAAAGAGAAAAACCCATTTGTTCTGTTAACTCAGTGCTTGGTAAACCTTGTGGTGGAAAGCAAAGCAAAACACCCCTCGGGGGCTGTTGAACAGTCTGAATTGGGGACAAATATGGTTATCAATCAGGTCCTGAGTAATAGGAATCTGCCTTCTACTGAGCTGGGCCATTGGTCCATCTAGTTTAGTATGGTGTGACACTAACTAATAATAATAATAATAATAATAATAATAATAATAATAATTAATTAATAATACTATTTGTACCCTGCCCATCTGACTGGGATGCCCCAGCCACTCTGGGCAGCTTCCATCATATACAAAATCATAATGAAACATCAAACATAAAATACCTTCCTATACAGGTTTGGCAATGAAAGCTCATGTAGTAATTAAAGTAGCTTAATACTAGCATATTATGTTGTGTGGGGCAGCAGTCAGAACAATCCCTGATGTGATTGCTCCTATAGCCTATTGCACTTGAGATCCTGATACTGTTTCAAGTCTGTAGTCATAACACAAGTGGGGGTAGATAGGTAGGTGATGAATTCAAAACTCACGGCAAACTCTTGTAACAGGTTATTAATTTTTGTTCTCTTTTTGCACATAGGTTTTCCAAGGACACTGGGTCAAGCTGAAGCACTTGACACAATATGTGAACTGGATCTAGTGATAAGCTTGAACATCCCGTTTGAGTCCCTAAAAGACCGCCTAAGTGCTCGTTGGATTCATCCAGCGAGTGGGAGAGTCTATAATATGGAATTCAACCCACCACAAGTACATGTAAGATAACTAGTCCTGCCCAAACAATGTGACTTGGCAAGAGAAACTGATTCATCCACCAGTAAAAGTGGTGAATTATCTTAATAGTTGTCAGTGTGTTGCCATTGGGTTTTGATGTTTTCCTCGTTCAGGGGAACTCTCCAATGCGCTGCTTCTCAGGCACACAAATAATTCCTTCCATGCACAATTTTGAAACAGGAATGTCAGGTGAGTTCTATCTGTGCTTCCCAAATGGTAAAGAGAAGGAACCATTTATGTGCATGAGAAGTAGTACATAGGAGATTTTCTCTGGCAGAAAACAATAGAACCCAGTGGGAACATGGAAATTCATTGAAAACTATATTGTAATACTGGGTGCTACTTAACACTACAGTGGTACCTCGGGTTAAGTACTTAATTCGTTCCGGAGGTCTGTTCTTAACCTGAAACTGTTCTTAACCTGAAGCACCACTTTAGCTAATGGGCCTCCTGCTGCTGCTGCACCGCCGGAGCACAATTTCTGTTTTCATCCTGAAGCAAAGTTCTTAACCAGAGGTACTATTTCTGGGTTAGCGGAGTCTGTAACCTGAAGCGTATGTAACCCGAGGTACCACTGTATTAGGGTTTTTGTGTACTCACCAATTGGCTTGGCCTGTGTTCCCATTTTTTCCACTTTGGGTGTGGCTCTTTTGGGTGAGGGCTGTGTATAATTTGGCATACCAGCAGCACATGTGTCTGTCTGAAGTGTTTGGCTATATTGTGCCCCTAGTTCTTTGTCACAACCAAGGCTGTGAAGATAGGCCAAAATTTGACACCTTTTTGCCTGAATGTTAATTTTATTTTTAGCGCAGCATAATCATTTCCCTTGGTAATACTAACATGTTGATTTGTCATGCCACTCTTGTTCACAGGGGGTTGATGACGTTACTGGTGAGCCATTAATCCAACGGGAAGATGATAAACCTGAAGCTGTTGCTGCTAGGCTTAGAAAATACAAAGATGCTGCAAAGCCTGTAATGGAATTGTACAAGTAAGTTGCAAGCCCAAGCGCCATCTAAGACTAAATTTAATTGTTACAGAGATACGGTGTATGTGCCGTGGCATGGCAGTAGAGTTTTCATATTAGTTCATGAAAATTCTACTGCCATAATCATGGCACATACATTTCTGGAAGGAGTTTCGTTGGCCAACTTAATATCCTCTAAACTGTATTAATTATTAGTACATTATATTGTTGAACTTTGGCTAATGAAATCATAGCTGGGTTACATCCGCTTCATGTTATGTTCTTTCAGGTTATGTCCCGCAGTGGCCCAGAAGTACCGAAAAGGGTTACTTCCAGGTTTCGCCGCTCGTGCATGCACAGACACGCAAAATGACGTCATACGCATGCGCAGAAGCGGCGAATTGCCACCCACATGTGCAGAGATGTGCCGCTGTGGGTTGCGCTCTTTTCATGTTGCAAACGGGCCTCTGGAACGGATCCCGTTCGCAACCAGAGGTACCACTGTATTAGAAAATAGCTATGTGTACACAGAACATATGTCCAAGGTTTACCAAATGTTGGTGAAGCCCATGGGTCTCCTTGTACGGGTTCTATTCTTGGAGAGAACTGAGTGTGATGGAAAGTGGAAGCACAGGTACTGTGCGTCCACACACATATTTTTTGCACCCTGTTCTAATCTGCAAATCCACTCCAGAGGTTTAAACAAACACACAAAATCCAAACACACAAGGCTCTTCCATGTGGGAAATAACATGCCATTTATATATAATAGTCCTTCATTTCTCTTTTATTCTGTCGGTGCCCATGGCTTGTGGAATATTTCACACATTGCCTTCCTTGGTCAGAAGTATGAATACAAGTATACACACTAAAAGAGTGCTGATTCATATTCCCTTTATCATAAGATAATAATTGCATCGTAACTAAACTTGCAATACCAGGGTTGGTTGGTTTGTAAAGATTCTTCATTTACAATATTTTTTTTATTTCTTTATTTCAGAAACAGAGGAATCCTACACTCATTCTCTGGGACAGAGACCAACAAAATATGGCCTTATGTGTATTCTCTGGTGTCCAGCAAAATTCCTCCACTCCAGGCCAAAGAAGCAAACTAAGCATTTCCAAAACAAGCAAGAGTTAATATAACCAGAGTTGATTTTCTATTAAGTTTGTGGTGTCCTTTATCTGTGCTTTGCCTTTATATATATAGAAAGCAGCTGTCTCCCTGGTTTTATTGGAGAATAGCTGCAGAAATATAGTGATAGCTAAGAACATCTCTGAAAATGCTATATGGAATCCTAGTCCTCAGCATATTAAGTATTTGTGCATGGACTTCCAGGGAATCCTAAATTGTTATGCAGAGACAGATATACCTTAGGAGGCTTACAGAGCCTGTTGTCTGTTCCATCTAGCCACAGCTAGTTCTTCTGCATATTCAGTGTGTCATTTCATGAATGTTTGGAATTGTTTTCCTTGATCTAACACTCCACAGCAATTTAAAAACAAACACTTCTCTAAATGTACCTGCAGCGCAAGAAGCACTGTGGAGCATATATGCATTATATAGCTCAAATAACAAAAAATGTGTTCGAGTATCAATTCATGGGGAATGGAAATTATGGTTGTTTTTAAACATGTTGGTTTGCGGAAAATACCAACATTTAAGAATATATATAATAAAAATGCTGCTCTAATGTTTATGGAACTAGTTTGTAATTCAGTGGTGTGGATTTAGGGCATCCTGTATACTAGGATATAAAGGTGGCCTATTTTTTTATCAAGAAAAGTTGCACAACTTGGATAGTATTATTATAGCCTTAATATTATACAGTGTTACAGCCTGTTACTAACTGCCAATGAGCTTCTGCTCTCTTTTTATCACATTTAAAATTGTCCCAAATTATCTCCCAGACAAGTGATCGTATGATTTAGCATAATGACCTGTCCAGATGATCACTATTATATTGAGCTGCTTCACAAGTCACTTGTTTGCAAGTCACATTAAGTCATAGTTTAACCACTGAAATGGCATGCACTTTTGCTGCTGGTTTTGTCCAAACCAGAGACTTCTTGTTTCCTCCCATAAACAAATCACAACCATAAACCTAGGTTCAGATGTAATGGCAAGCCAGATCATTGCTTGTTTCCTGGGCAGTGGCAAAAGCAGGGGAAGAGTGAAATGCCTGCAATTTTGGCAGTATGCACTAGCATGCTGTGTGTTCACATTAAATGTTTAAGCCATTTAGTTTAACTGTGGTTTATTGTGACATGTGAACCGGGACAGTAAGCAACAAATTTTCATGACCACACAGTCTAGGAAAAATGCTGTCACAAATATGGAAACTGTTGTCAATATAGATCAATGGTTTGATTATTAGACTTGTTCATATAAGGACAATCAGTTGCGAAGGTTCACATATGCAAAAGGAAAAAAAGTTATGTACTGGACCAAAGACTTAAGCTATGTACACTTTAGCCGTGTTAAAACACAGTGAGGTTGTTCTCTCCCACTGCATTTGAAGTTGCATTTGCATGTTGCTGTACACACTAGAAAGGGGACAGGAATATCCTACCCAATGCACATTTCCTGTTTAGTTTTCCCATGCCTGCAACCCCCCTACCCAGCTCCTATTTATGAAGTGGTCATTGTGCGTGCATGGTCATTATGCACGTGCAGTGGCGATCTCAAACATACACAGCTTAGCTTAATTGCATAGTGGATGTGAGTGGAATTTTCAAATTGGATGGAAGCTGGTTTGAAGGGAACACATCAAACAGCTGTATTTCTCAAGAAACTACAGGATAGGTGTGAATTGTGGCCAATGACACATATGCATGGCTTCAAACCCAGTTGGTGGGAGCAAACCAGAGCCAGATTCAATGGTAATGTATACATAGCTTTACTTCAGTTGGTCTCTCTGTGTGTTTTAACCACCTGTCTTTAACTGAAGTCATTTCTTTCCTGTGTGAGTTTGGCCTGTTTTGAACCAATTTTCCCTTTCCTCTAAGTGGTCTGTCTTTGTCCACATAACTCTTAAGATCTCATCTATTAGTTCCAATGTACTTTTCTCTGAATGCTTCTTTGCATCATTCACTAGAATCTGAATGAAAATGAAGGTAAGTAAGCACTCAGATCTGAATAGAAGCAAAATGGTCTACTATGCATGTATTCCTTGATAGCTGGCCATTTGGAATGTTGCTCTTGAAATTTGTTGCTAAGTGTGCTAAGTTGACTTGAACACTGAGCAGATTGCTACCAAATAATTTTAGACCAAAAGCTGAACAGAAACACTTGATTTTTCAGAGCAATTGTTTCAAAACTTTCTTTCCTCAAAGAACCAGTTTCTGCATGGCTGTTACTTCTAAAGAATTCCAGGATTCCCTGAACATAATGTAGGATTCTAGGTTATATTTTAGCTTATGATTTGGCTCTTGCAGTACATGCATGGGCCAGCCATAATTCACGGTTCTTGGTGTTGATGCATGCAAAATGGAGATGGTACCCTAGAATATCTCCAACACACTCCCTCAGAGAGCACATTTAATCAGATCAGTAGTGATGGGAATGCTGGTCTGCCATTATAGATCTCCTCACTGTAGAACCTGTAGCAAGGAATGCCAGAGTTTTCCAGACCAGTCTTAAAACTACTGTTGCAGATCAATCAAATCAAATCAAATGTGCTTTAACTTTTCTCTTCACTTTCTTGCATGTTGGATTTGATCCAGAGCAAAGTAAGTTGCACTTATACCTGTTGAATTCAGTGTGATATGTAGTGATGAGTAACTTGTATCCCACTGAAATCAATAGGATGTAAGTGCAACTTAACTTGTTTGTTTCCACTTTTCTATTTCCTTTCCTGTAGTACAGGCATAGCCAATGTGGTGCCCGCCAGAGACTCCAACTCCCATCAACCCTCACCATCGACAATGCTCTCTGGGGCTGATGGGAGTTGTAGCTAAACATCTGGAGGGCACCATGTTGGATACCCCTGCTGTAGTATATGAAATAGCCAAAGGCTGTTGGTTAAAGGGTGTGTGTGTGTCCTATTAATGCGAGGAGCACAAAAATGTAGGCTGCTGTCCATGGAGAAAGAGTGTGATAGTTTTCCGTGAACAGATTGTTTTCATGCTACACAGCACTGAAGTAAAGCAGACTTCCTTTTGTACCACATGGCAAAGAAATATGATTTGTTCGTTCATGGGCAGATCAGCAGTGGTCTCAACCATGCCCTGTCTTTCCTGCTCCTGAGCTTAATCTCCAGTCAGCAGCACCGGCTGTGGTTGAACTTTCCCCTCTGCACTCTCCCCATGCCTTGTTCAGCTGGTCAGAGATTATAGCTCAGGAGTGGGGGAAACACTGCTGGGGAGAGGCCAGTAGACCAGACTGGGAAGTCCTGCAGGTCTTACCCATCTCCACCCCAGAATCAAAAACTAGTTTCCCTTTAAATGGACGAAACAAAAAAACTGGGAGTTTTCCATAATTCTTAAATGTATAGAGACGTGTGTGTGTGTGTGTGTGTGTGTGTGTGTGCGTGTGTGCGCGCGCGCGCATACCCATTTTTGTGTATTTTTTCCTATATCCAGAGTTCATATAGCAGCTTTCCTAAACTGGAAGCAAATACTGTAATTTTGATGCGTAATATTTGACAGGAACTATAACTTGATCTGAGTGTCCTCAAGTTGCCTTATTTTATATAAAATGCAGGGGGAATGTATTTAGGGGAGAAATTATTCTGAATTATGCTTTGTAGTCCCCACCACCAAGAGACCTATGCTAGTTTGATGAGAAAATTATGGCTAGCATATTATACAAGAAGCTTTATAGTATTTGAGAATGGGCTACTGCATTAACTGCCAAACTAAATGAAATAACATTTTAACATCAGCAGTGCAAGACTACAGCTTAATGCCATCTTACACCTACATTAGAGTTTGTTCTACCCAATTGCTGTTTGCATAACTGTTTGAACCCACGAAGCCCTGGCAGCATAGGTATAATACTTCACAATGTCTTAACCATGGTGAACCTTGGGGGTCTCAAATTTCAGTGCCACCCTGTGTGACGCCAAAATTTGGCACCCCTTGCTTCTCTTGCTCCACTCTAATTCATAGCTGCAGCGCCCAGTGTGACCAAACTAGTTACGTTCCCCTAAATCCCCCTCTGGTGCAGTGGAAATGTTGGGGGTTCTCAGTTCTCTTCTCTACGCTTGGATGTAAAGTGTGGATAAGCACTTTTTCCTGAACACCCACATCCTAACAGACAAGGCTCTATCCATAAGTATTTCCTTTTGAGAAGGAGGAGCATGCTATCTGAATGCAGCCTGAGCTTTTCAGGATGCACTGTTGTAGAGCAAAGTGACAGGGAATGGCAAACTGTCATCTGGCTCTGCCGGTACCCAAAAAAGCATTCCGTATACTAAGATGCATCCCAGGAACTGGACTCTAGCATTGCTGCTTTTTTATTTTTTGCACTTTTATCAAGACAATCTGGACATTCAATGTAGATGAAGCAACTGCTATATTTGTGCTTTAGAAAGACTAAAGGTGTTCTGAAGGTCAACTGTCTCCTGAGACAGCTCATGTGGTGCTGATAACACCAAGGTTGCAAGTTCGAGCCCCATAAGGGACAGCTGTATATTCCTGTCTTGCAGGGGGTTGGACTAGACAATCCTCAGGGTCCCTTCCAGCTCTACAGTTTTTGATTCTATGTACTGAGGACCCCAGCACTGCAACTCTATAACATCTAATGCAGGGAGTTTCCAGAAAGAATGCGAAGGGTTTACGTATCCCTGTAATTGGCTACAATGATGAGCACATTTTAAGCTACTAACAAAGAATCCAAAGAGTTTAACAAAAAATCCATTACCTCTCACTGTGACTACTTCTGAGTGGGCCAGGTATACATGAGGCCATCAATTATATAGAGAAGGCTCAGATGTCCATGAATTGTCATAATGTTAATTTTTTTAAAAAAGTGATTTTCCATGTGGTGCACATAATTAAATGTGTGACAAATGTATGCTTACACAAAGAATTGGACACCAGTGATAGAATGCACTTTTGTATTTTTTATTAGATCTTCATTTTTATACAAAAAGCAATATCTAGAATAACCGGGGAGATGGGTCACCAAGTGCCCTCTCCTTCCCTGGCTTCCAAGGAGAAGCTTCTTTTAGGAAACCATCTCCTGAAAGTGTCTTAAGTGATCGGAGGGACATTGGGAGATACCTTTATTCACTGAAACTCAAAGCACTCTAGTTTCAAGGGTGCAGGAAGGTATGGCTGCCTTCTAGGGGGCTTCTTTGTTCAGCCTGTGGCAGGTGGGAGAAGACATATATATATATGGGTTTGTTTCATGTCTTGACTGAGTTCTATATTTTTATCACGTTTTTCTTCACCATGGGCTGTCTCCAGGGTTGCAGAAGCAGGGTTTGTGCAATGGATCCCCTTCTTTCACCTGCTCTCCCCTGTAGACCCAACAAAAGTCCTCGCCAAAGAGTTGTGCAGGGGGGTGGGGACTGACCAAACATTCTGGGCTTTATCATTTGGGGCTGCAGTGAAAGAAGGGAACCCCAAACTGGCCAAGGAATCTTGCACTCTGCTGTCTTCCTCTCATGCAACATTGGATTTTAATACAATATGGTGGAGGTTCCTTGCTCAGCACCCCAACTTTTCTTACCTGCTTGTATATCTATGCATTAAGAGCAACTGGCCTATGTGAGCAGAATATATTGAGTATGAGACTTGGGCTGCTTCCAGACTGTAACTATGTATTTAACAAAAGTTGTTTGGCTTTAGAGTGATGGGAAAGAACTGCAGAAAGATAACAAAGAATCCATCCACTTCTGTTATTCTGTGTTTTTATTTCAAGGTTGTAAAGCCCTTTGGCAAAGCTCAGTTTGTGCTTTTTAAAATTTTAAGTAAGGTTTACTTTTGAGTCCTTTATAAATAAGACAGGGTAGAGCTGGAAATGTGAAACTGGGGGAACCAAGTGTGTGGAGATAAAGGAGCTTGGGTGTGCTCTTTTGACTCGGATGTAACAGCTCTGAGAAATTTGACTTGTTCAAAGTGATGGATTCACTTTTCATATTCATTAATTTCATATTCACAGCAAGAGTGGTCTAATTATTAAAATATATTGCTAGGTGAATTTTATAGAATTTGTAGAAATTATTCCAGGGTCAAAATACATTATTGTTGCTGCTCTGAGTACTTTCAAAAGCACTCCATTTAGAAGCTACCCAGATACTATGTTCTCTATTGTGTTGGTTTTTAGCTTTTCCTCAGAATCACAGTCTTCTGTAATGCACCACAATTTTCACCTCATGATGTTGGCACTTTACTGTGAATCTGATGTATTTTCTAAAGTTATGGTTCAGTTTTGTATTAAAGACAGTATGTTGGGAGGGAGTTCTGTACTTAGTTGTTCTAGGGAACAGTCTTTGTATGTACTGTAATTGAGGGAGGTGGGGTTTTTTTTGTTTTGGATAGTCTCTCCCCCTCCCCCCAAGAAAATCCTACAGCTGTATAACCATTTGATATTTGTAAATAAAGTTATTTTGAACTTACTCTGCATCTTCTCAGATGTGTTTCATTCCATTAGCTACATTTGCTGGTAAAACCCAATTCTGTAAATTATAAAGATGATTCCACCTCTCTATACTATGAAAGGGAAGATCCAAGTTTTCTAAATTTGTGGTATTTGGTAAGTTAAAATAAACTATTACCTTCATGCATAGTGCTGCAAGGGAGGAAATAAGCAGAACAAAGAACACAGGACGTCTGCCAAAAATAGCAATCCTGAGTTGAGTTCATACTTCTGTTTTTCCTGTGGTATACAGTAACATAATGTGGTGTGATGTTCCATTTCCCTACAGACATGATAAGCAGCCCCAGTAAGCATGGCCAATGGGCAGGGATTACTGGAGTTGTAGCTCAACAACAACTGGAGGGCCAAAGGTTCCCTACAACTGCTCTAGAGGGTAGAGGAGGGGGCTTGCAGCACCAGGCTCGCTATTCTTTGTTGGCTTCATCTCATTTCATCCAGGAGGAGACTTCATTGTATGCAAGTCTTGCATCTTCATACTGTAAGCAATTGATTGACTATGCATATGTTAAAAAACAAAACCTGTAGCTTACATCCCCCCATGTGGTGTATAGCACCATAAATTACTTAAGAGATGTGAGCTAATGAGGTGATCTGCACTTTGAGTGTGTGAGTGAGAGAAAGCAGTGAGGCAGGGATGGACTGTGAATTTACACAGTTTTGACCACGAATAGGTGATTTTCAAGCTTGTGGGATCTTCTTTGTTTTTGACTAGAATTCGAAGATGAACCAACCCAGAGCCACATGCAAACAGTACACCATTAGAATTAACCAGCAGGCCACCCCTGAGCATATTCTGGGCTTAGAAATTTGTTTTCAATCCTAGAACTGAACTGAGCTCTTAGTCCTTTCATATCAAGACCACTTCTGGTTAGCTTTCTTCATTTCAGCAGCCTTATTTAGGTGGAATGGTTTTGCTCTTGCTGTTATTAAACAGTTGGGAACTGAACTCTTGCTATCTACTGCAAATCACCCATAGTTCTACCAGTAGGTCCCAATCTGCCATTTGTTCACCCTGGTCTATGTTGACCACCAGCTCTTTAGCATTTCAGTCAAAAGCTTTCTCCAATCCTCACTGGAGATGCAAGGGCCTGAAGCCAGGACTGATTTGCATGCAAATCATGGGCTCTACCACTAAGGTAAGATGAGGGGGGAAATTACCCCAGTTCCAGTGTTGGGTCTTGCATTTCCTGCTTGCTTCTCCATGCCCTACATGATAAGCCATTGGAGGTGGCAATTGTTGCTAGAAATCTGAGTAGGACAATCCTCTCCCTTCCCTCTAGAATGAATTAATGTCCAATCTCCTCCTTCCCAGTCCTATGCAAAATGCTAAGCTTTGACCACTATTCATTGCTGGTTGAATCCAAATTGGTTCATGCATAAGTGGAACTGACTTCTCTTGCAACAGAACTTCACCTTCATCTGTTCTCTTCTGTGGCTCCTACATACCCTGAAAATCTGCTCCAGGAGATTGAGGGGGGACCCTTTGCTGAGAGGAGAGGAAAGCATTCTGTTGCACTCTTGCAGTGTTGGATTCTGCCCTGTGTCCTAAATCATGTGCCCAACAGCACAGCTTTAATTACCTGAATTTTTTTTTTTGCTCTGTTTAAATATACATTACAGTCATGGATGCAACTATGAGGAAAACTGGAATAAAAATAAAGTGCTGGAAACCCGCATTTAACAAGAGGATTATATTTGTTCTAAGTGATAGATTAGAGGAAAGACATTTCTGTAGAGCTATTACATAAATCGGATTTTGTTTGTGGGCTTAGACATTTAGAATGAAGAACTCTGTTACACTGGGGCTGCTT